GACAATTCTTTTCAAGTTAGTTATACCTCGGTAGCAGGTGTTTCTCCAGTTTGATTGGTTTTCAACAGCAAGTTCGAACTCTTCAATAGAGATGTTTGCAGCAGTTAAATTGTATTTAAGTTTGTTCTTGAAGCATAACCGAGATGGCGTACATTACGCTTACCATGAAAAAGTTGGTTATACATGAGGATTTTTCAGCATCTGATCAGCACTCATTAAGATGACATGACCAGCCCATCTGAACAGTGATAGCATTAGAAAGTATTCAGTACCACCGATGGTATATTTGATGAAAAGATCAGGGTAAGAGATTTTTGTCTCGCTATGCATAACCTCATATTAAACGGAGACATCCTTTATAAAATGCATCAAGTTGTGCGTCCTGTATAGCGTCCACGATTCTGAACAATAAGAATTTATATATATATATATATATATATATATATATATATATATATATATATATATATTGAACAATAAAAAATATTAAAAATTAAAATCTTCAGATATACTGGGTTTTAGATTAATATTCTTTCGTTTTTTTTATTATTATTTCATTTAGATTCCTCGACTAGTTTCGGCCAAAATGGCCATCATCAGGAGAAAAATATTTCTGCTTGCTGGTAGCAGTAAACTACAGAAATGAATGTCTTGCTGGAGAAAATGAACTTTTGTCTGTAGTTTTCATGTGTTTTTATTTTTTTATCTTTTTAACATGAATCTTTTAACATTCCTTGTGTTGTTCAAACAGTCTCTTTTAAGTTGTTATTTGAGATAAGAGCTGGATGGATGTATGCTTCTCTGATATATATATATATATATATATATATATATATATATATATATCTGTAAGACCATTACCTCAGTGGCTCTTGGGACTGGTACAGGGTGAACATCACTGTAAAAAACATACATTGCCAAATTCACGAACCAACGCTTTATTCCACTAGGATATTGTCCCATGTGACAATTCTTAGTGGAGAACCTGGAGCCATAAACCTAACCTGACAGCTGATTGGCGAAGTTGTCTCTGTTGCTTTTTATGCTTAACTGCGCTCACTGAGGATTTTCTTCTGCAACATTTAGAAAAAATCTTCATCTGTCTTTGTAAGCAGAAACTTTTTTAAGATATCCTGACGTTTATGGCGAAGCACGGAAAGGGCCGGTAATAAAATAAGTGTTTTCAAGAGGACGAATATGCAAGGAATGGCAAAGTGAAGCCATCAAAAATGTTTTCGGAAGATGGCGAAAAAAGTAAGCCAGTCAAAGAGATCAACATGATAAATTATGTTAGTATTTCAGCAGGCCACATATTGGAAAATGGTTTATCCATCATCCATAAACCAGAAAGAATTCCATGAGGTCAGTTTTTTTTTTTCGATACTGACAGAAAACTAATAGAGAAAACATGTGAGTCCCGGACAATTACGTAAGCTGGAAATTTGCCTCCCTAGAAAATGCGTCCCTTGCATACCTCAGATTATTTTTGAAGCTTTTAAAGTCAATTATCATAAAATTAAAAAAAAAAAAAGAAAAAAAAAAGCATAGGTAGTAATTATAATTTTTTAAAAAGGAATAAAATACCGTAATTCCCTATGTATAATACGCATTTTTTTCTAAAAAAAGTAGTAAGTAAAAATCAAGGGCGCGTATTATATACAGCTAAAAAAATCTTTATAAAATTGCCGAAAAGAATTATCATCAAACTAAATTAGAATAATATTATTCTATGTTTAAAACTATTTTTAAGAGCAGAAAACGCTGGCTGTAATGAATTTGGAGAGGTACAATTTATAGGGTTTGATTACCAAACAAGGGGTGCGTATTATGCGTGAGTAGAAGCATTTTCCACAAACTTTCAGCACCATTTTAGGTGTGCGTATTATGGGTGTCGCGCTAGGTTAATTACGACAGAGTAGTGTCGTCCTGGGTATGACGATAAACTACATCCGCGTCCTGGGTATGACGATAAACTACATCCGCGTCCTGGGTAAGACGATAAACTACATCTGCGTCTTGGGTATGACGATAAACTACATCCGCGTCCTGGGTAAGACGATAAACTACATATGCGTCCTGGGTAAGACGATAAACTACGCCGAACAACAAGGCTTCAGATAATGTTTTCGGAAAAATAATGTTGTCAGCTATACGTTTTTGAAACAACAATGTTGCCAGCTATACGTGTTTTGGAAAAACATAATGTTGCCAGCTTTGTGTTTTTTGAAACAATAATGTTGCCAACTATATGTTTAAAAGTACTGTATATTTAATATATGTATATATATATATATATATATATATATATATATATATATATATATATATGTATATATATATATATATATATATATATATATATATATATATATATATATATATATATATATATATATATATATATATATTATAATTTGGCATTAAATGACCCACAGTGGTTGATATGCCCTAAAACAAACCAACCAACAGAGTAGTGAGTTCGATCCTCACTAGGCGCTTCATTAGAATATATCTGTAAAGACGAAACGCTGGCTAACAAATGAAGATCCCTGGAAAGCCGTTTGACTAATTGCAGAAATGACACACCAGGTCGACCTTTAACACCTTGACCCGTAACTATTATTGCAGTATAATGATCAGTATATAATGCAAAGCAGTTATATAAAAAATTCGCCCCAAAGAGGATTTAAACAGTCTAGGTCAGTCTCTCTAACTTTAACTAACAATATTAGGAACCACACACTGACAGCGATTATCATTTTGTCATTATCCTGTCTAGCCCCCTGTTTTCTTTTCTGTCCCGTATCCATCAGGACGTAGGCGAGCATGGCCCTCCACATCTTCCTGTTCCATCAGCTCTTAATGTTTTGTCTTTTTAATATTTCTCCCAAACCGTGTCCTACCAGCGATTTACTCAAGTCCATCATGTTACACGCTGTTTTCCTCTGTCCCTCTTTCCCGCCATCTGCCCCGTGAGTATCAGATTTTCCAAGCCCTCTTTCCTCATTACGTGCACCAAAAATTTCAACTGTATCTTTCTGATGTTAAGTAGAAGTTTCCTTTTTGTTTCCATTCTCTCCAAAACCTTGTCGTTGCTCATAGTATCCTCAGCATCTTTCTGTAGGACCAGATTTTTGTTGCTTCAAGTCTCTTCTTCATCGTTGAGAATATTTTCCAGCTTTGACTGCCATACAGGAGGACAGATATCCCGTAACAGTTCAGTAGTCTTTTCTTTGATTATAGCTAATTTATTCTAAAAGAATAATTATATTTCTGTAAAGATGAACAGAAGGGGAAAAAAACCTCATTACACTCTTTTGTTGAATATATCACACGAAGTCAATGGAGACATCATGTTCCACATCGATTCAAGAATCTCACTGTAATAAATACTCAAAGACTGGTATTCTGGGATCAAAAGCAAAAAAGAAAACGTAAGAAGTCCTAAAACAAAACCTCTTACTGAAACCACTTTAACTATTTTCCCTTAACTCAGGGTTTCCCAGACTAGGCGATATCGGCCACCAGTGGGCGATTTCAACTGTTGGGCGGGCGGTGAGTAACTAAACAGAAATTGGTGAGCCAGTGCAAATGTTGGTGGGTGATACAGGATTTTGAATACTGGAAAGGTGTTTCAAAATATGTTACCCGAAAAAATACTCAAAGAAGATATGCAATGAACCTGTATATAAAAAGAATAAAAACTAGGAGACAAATAGGGAAGAACTGGGACAGATTCTTAGATATATCCCCGCAGACAACGAATATTTTCTATAGTTTTGAGAAGGGTGATTAACATTCAAATAGTTCTTCAGATGAAATTACATTTTTTTCGGATATAAATTAGATCAGGGAAAACCAAGAACAAAAATTATTCCTTGAAGTTTTATTAGTTGATAGTTGTATAAATTCATTTTTTAACTTTATACTTATGAACAAAAATCGTTTCATTTTTTTTCAACACTTGCAGCGTTAACCGTAACCAAGAAATCTGTGTGCGACATATTAAAAAAAAACAAAAAAAATTCACAAATGTACACACACACAAAATGTAGCACACACGCACGCACAACAACACACACATATAAAATTCAACGCACATAAACAACACACAAACGTACACACACACACACACACAAAATGCAGCCTGCTTACGTCATTAAAACGCACACACGCACAATAACAACAAAACAGATACACATATGAAATTCAACACACATAAACAACACACAAGCGTACATACATACACAAAATGCAGCATGATTTCGTTGTAAAAACGTACACACGCACATACAACAACGACAGCAACAACACACACACACACATACACAATGTAGCCTGCATGGGACGAAAATACACACACAACACACACACACTCATACACACATATAAAATTCTACACACATAAAAAACACACAAACGTACATACACACACAAAATGCAGCATGATTTCGGCGTAAAAACGTACACACGCACATACAACAACAACAACAACAACACACACACACATACACAGACCCAAGACGGCATTCTTGCGATGAAAATAATCTCGTATTAAGAGAAACAAAATTATTTAGAAAAACTGATTCCCATGACGTGGCTATTTCTTTGTAGTGGCGTAAAACCAAGAAGACATTAATAATAAATCTGCGTGCAGCGTATTAAAGAAAGAAACAACAAAACTCTCCCATTGATAAGTCAACCTCGACATCACTTTGTTTATAAATTCCCCCGTAAAATTACATCAGACTCCGTTTATAGCAAACGAGTAGTATATCTATTATGTCGACTGCGTAGACCAGGTTTTTTCAATGTGGGCGATATCACCCACCGGTGAGAGATTTCAACTGTTGGGCAGGCGATGACTAAATGAACAAAAATGGTGGGCCACTGGAAATTTTGGTGGGCGATATAGGATTTTGAGTATTAAAATATTGCTACAACATATGCTATCCGGAAAAAGAAATATTAAAAGGAGATATGCAAAAATCTGTATGAAGAAACAGAAGGTTAATTGTGAATAACAGGATCACATTCTTAGATGATATAAATATCCTACAAACAACGAATATTTTGGTATTTTCTATAGTTTCGAGAAGAGGGTCATTAACATTCAAACAGTTCTTTAGATGAAATAACATCTTTTTTTCGAATATAAATCAGATAAGGAAAGACCAAGAACAAAAAATGTCCACTGAATTTTTATTAGTTGTCAGTTATGTATATTCATTTTAATTTTATAATTATGAACAAAAATCGTTTTATTTTTTGCCAAGACTTAACAACGCTATGCCTAACAATAAATCTAATACTGATTTGGTTTGGTTTGTTTTATTTTACGGCATATCAACCTCAATGGATTATTTAATGCCGACAACATTTTTTCCTGGTAATATTTTTATTTTGTCAAAAATCTGTTTCTGGTAATATATTTTTCCCTCAAAAATGTATAGCTGGTCATATTATTTTAAAACATGGTAATATTTTTTTTTTTTTGAATCGTATTGCTGGTAATATTTTTTTTTTCAAAAATATATTGCTGTTAATAGTATTTTTTTCTCAAAAATTTATTTTTGGTAATAATATTTTGCAAACAATTTCTGGTATTAAAATCTTTTTTTTTTATTTTTACACTTTTATAATGCTTTTTACCTCAGTTTCGGGGTTAACTATTTGCCCATAGCTGGAACCCTAACGGGTGCTACTACCCCGTGTGAGGGTGGACCTGGGAACACTAGCAATTAAGAGGTGGTTCCACGCTCCTCAAAACCTCCTGATCAGAAGCCTTGTAGTTGGAGGTAGTTTATCGTCTTACCCAGGAAGAGGATGTAGTTTATCGTCATACCCAGGACGGAAATCTAATACTGATCAGAAAACTAAATGATATATATATATATATATATATATATATATATATATATATATATATATATATATATATATATATGAAGAAATATAATTTTAGGTATGCTATATGTACGGGATAAAGTGCTCAATATCAGAGATACAGCATATGTAAATATGAAATTGAATATCGAAGTCAACGCTCAGAGGCAGCAGACTGTTTCATGCTAAATGCAATCATGGGGCCACATATGTTTTGTTTTTTTCTCGACTATTTATATAAATAATCGACAAAAACACAACGCATGTTACCCTGATGTTTGCGTTAAGGCTATCTGCCGCCTCTGAGTATTGACTTCAATGTTCACTATATATATATATACATATATATATATATATATATATATATATATATATATATATATATATATATATATATATATAATTTAAATAAAAACAGACCACTTTAAGTTTCCATGTAATAAAATTATTTCACTACAGTCCTTTTAAAGGCCTGCGGATCATCAGACTTTACTTCCAAAAAAAAAAAAAAAAAAAAAAAAAATCTACCTAGTTTTTCATAAACTATATATGTGTATTAATCCTTCCCTAAACTCTACCATGTCTTTTTAACTACTCCTTTTACACTCTCTGTTAAATTACAAAAAAACTTACACTACCCATCAATTTTAATTTCATTTTCGTTTTATTTCATTTTTAGAAGTGCTATCTGATGATCCGGCATCCTTTAAAAAGGACTCTGGTGAAATAAATTATTATAATAGTAAATTAAAATTGGTCTGTTTTCTTTGAAATATATATATATATATATATATATATATATAAAGAAAAGAACAGTAAGATATATAATCGGTGTTCTTATAGATATTTTATTTTTTTACAAAATAGTGCTCAATGTAAATTTACAGAGCATTAATTATTATAAATTAATTGATTTAAAATATATTTTTTTTCCTTTACACAGTTCTAACCATGTTTCAAAATGAAGCTAAGCCCCGAATTTAATTTGCAATTAAATGAAAAAAAGCATTACTTCAATTTCATCCTCAAGCGACCCAGTAATTTTTAAAAGTTACTCCAAAATTCGCTTGAGGATGATGAAATCATTCAACCAGTCTTTTAATCTTCAAAAATGTAAATGTAATGTCTATTGCTATCTACTGTCCTCCCGATTACTCTTTCTTCTTTCCGATGATCATTAATGCTTCTGTCCTTAATTCTTACTCACCCCGTAACCTCTGTGTCATAGTGGCTTTAATTGGCTCGTGATAGACTGTTTTTCTCTTTGGTATCTATCTTACATATCTATCTATTGTTCCTGCTTAGAATATTGTTGCCACATATGATTTGGTTTGGTCTGGCGTTATTGCAATTTATACAGAGATCTTTGATAAAATCCAAAGAAGAATCAGCAATATTATTGATCCTGATCCGGTGTCTCATCAATTTGTCAGAGTTGGCGAGATGAAACCCTAAGTTCTATGCTAACAATTTCAATTTTCGAAACATGCTTCCCACCCAACTGTAATCTCCAAAAATTTGAATGCAATGTCAATCGCTATCTACTCTCCTCCTGATTACTCTACTTTTCTTCTCAGTAATCGTTTTGTTCTCTAATTCTAACCAAGCTTTGCCATCGTCCTGGGTAAGACGATAAACTCCGTCCAGCAGCAAGATGTCTGATAAGAGGTTTTGAAGAGCGTGGAACCACCTCTTCATTGCTGGTGTTCCCAGTCCTAACATGACCCGGGGTGGTAGCACCTGTTAGGGTTTCAGCTATGGGAAAATAGTTAACTATTACCAGAAATACTTTTTTTTGAAAAAAATTATTACCAGCAATAGAATTTTGAAGGAAAAATATTACCAGAAACAGTTTTTTGACAAAACAAAATATTACAAGTAATAAAAAATGTTGTCGGCATTAAATAACCCATTGAGGTTGATATGCCGTAAAACAAAATAAATCAAACCAATGTAAACCAGAGAATACATATTCTATTCATAAGAATCTATCCTAAAAATGTTGTCGTC